CTCTTTTTGAGTTGCCTGCCCCTTCTTCCCAGTGTATAAACCCAGTGCTCTCAGCCTTTCCTCATGGAAGAGGTATTCCACCCCTCTGATCATTTTCATGGCCCTCTTCTGGACCTGCTGTAACAGGTCCATGTCTTTCTTGTACTGGTGACTCCAGAGCTGGATGCACTGCTCCAGGTGGGGTCCAGTGTAGAAGAGCAGAATCACCTCCCTCAACCTGCAGGCCACTGGGAAGCATTGGGTGATCAAACGTACACTTAAAAAGCAGGGGAGGACACAACAATGTGGTGATAGTTATCTAATTGACTGTAGGTAGTCAAGGTAGTTGGGAGAGCAGATGAGATTACTAATCCAGAATGGTTAAGTCTGATTGTTCTTAAGCCAGTTGCATAGCTGAACATGTGAACTAACTTAGTTGTTGCATTTCTTTGATAAAAGCAGTAGCTAGATAACCCGTTTGGCATGGAGCAGTGGAATTACAGTATTTCTAGGGTATTCTTTTTATTTTTGAGTTCTTGATTTAAAACATTATTATAGTAAGATACACATCTAATTTAGATACTATTCAATTTCGGTTATCCAAAGTCAATAATTTTATGCTACCTTTAAGTAGTGTTTGTAACTGCAGCTCTTGATGTTCTTATGATGAGAAGAATAAGGGTAGCGTGTTGTAATAGATGGGGAATATACTTGGCTGTATCCATGCATTTGTTTCAGGTGCTCTGATGTCTGCTACATTGCTGAAATTTTGATTAACCCGTCCTTCTCAGTCTACAGGCAAAATGGACCTTTAAGTTATAAATAGTATTGTATATACTTTGCTGTTTTAAATTCAAATGCTGTTCTTATATAACTTCTGACAGATGGTCAGAATGTTCATATTCGCGTATAAGAAAGCGAGTCATACCTTGATAATCTGAAGATTTTGGGGGTGTTAGATTCCAAATGGGTTTACCAGGCTGAAACCAGTCCGCGTTTCAGTTTAACTTTAGAATTCTGGTAAGTAAATTTAAACTTAATACTGCTCTGGAATCTACCTGCCAAATTTGAAACAATTTTGCGTAAGGATCGTGAAATCCTGAACTTCTGCATTTATACTTTAGAGTTATCCGTCTGGAATGTAACAATTAGAGCACATCTTGTCATAGTATTTTCCTCTGCTTTTCTGCAACAGATCTTCAAGACAGGCCTGCCTCTTCATATGCAGAGGGAGCAAGACCGAAAGAGAACTCATTAAGCACTTTGAGGCTGAATGCATCCATGAACCGCCAGTTGCCTTCTGATCATCAGCCATCTTTTTTCAACAGAGACTCTAACATGAGCTCTTCAAGATCCAGCTATTCTTCAAGACAAAGGAGAAATGAATTGGAATCTACCCAGAGGAGCATGCAGCCAGCATTTTCTCTTACTGCCATTAGAGATGAAACTCCTTCCTCAAGTGGTTCTGAAAGGGTTTTATCTTCTCAGAGGTCATTGAATGAGCCTGCAGCTGACAGCGAAGGGAGGCGAACAACTAGACAGCTGCTGTCTCGTTTAGCATCTAGTATGTCATCTACATTTTTCTCTCGAAGGTCTAGCCAAGACTCATTGCATACAAGATCATTAGGCTCTGAAGAGTCAACGGTGGTCCCAAGAGTTCAAGCTTCTCCTCTGTCGAGCAGTAATGGAGCTGCAACTCCGGAAGTTCCAGGACTTCAGACATCTGAAGCTTCTCAGGGATTTAGTTTTCTTAGACGAAGATGGGGTTTATCAGGAGTTTCACAAAATCATAACTCTGATTCAGATGGGGAAAGTTACAGACCAGACTCTGAAAGTAGGAGCACAGGATCCTGGTTATCATCATCTTTGAGGAACAGATGTACACCTCTCTTTTCCAGAAGAAGAAGAGAAGGAAGAGATGAATCTGCAAGGATCTCTACCTCTGATACAACTGCTAGATCACAACATGTCTTCAGAAGAAGAGAGTCAGGTGAGGAGACCTCTCTTGAAGCATCAGATAGCCCTCCTCGGGCTTCTGTTAGCAGACCACCAACACCTGCAGTATCTGGTATTCCTACAGCTACTGCCTCCCCACCAGATTCAGCCCACAGTAGGAGAAGTTCTGGAATTCTGCCTGGTTCTCTCTTTCGCTTTGCAGTGCCTCCAACATTAGGAAGCAGTCTGTCTGACAATCTTATGATAACTGTAGATATTATTCCCTCTGGCTGGAATCAGTCTGATGGACAAGAAAGTGGCAAGTCTAAAATACCACCTTCAAGAGATCCAGAAAGACTCCAGAAAATTAAAGAGAGGTAAATTAGTATGTCCTTTTGAGATAATAAAATGTAACTGACTTAACATGAGAGGGTTTTCTGTAACTATGATGTTAAAAGGAAACTTTGCTTCAGAGAAGGCGGCAGCTCAGTCCTCTCTCACCTGTGTTCTCACTTTTGTCTTCAGAGAAACTTGTTTTAATCCTTGTAGGTTTGAGAACAGTTTGAATGGAATTATCATTATAAAAAGTCTTACATGAAATGTGTCACAGTGTTTGTTGATATTCCTTCCTATTCAGCCTGCTTTTAGAAGATTCTGAAGATGAAGAGGGTGACTTATGCAGAATCTGTCAGATGTCCTCTGCAAGTTCTGACAACCTTTTAATAGAGCCATGCAAATGCACTGGAAGTCTGCAGTATGTTCACCAGGAGTGCATGAAAAAATGGCTGCAGTCCAAGATTAATTCAGGTAAGGCAGACTCTAGACCAAGGTAGACTTCCAGTTACATTGGGAGGCTTACCAGGAGGATTACTGTTACTCATACTAAGGTATTTATTCAAAAAACGAGCCGTTGGGGACACACAGCAGTGTGGCACTTCGAGGCTTATTGTGTGTCTGTGCAGCTTCTCATGTGAGTAGTTCCAAGAACTGTATTTGTTATTCAGAGAATTAAATTTTTGGGATTGTCTACTAAGATATAACTAAGATATAACTAAGATATAGATAAATATAACATTGCAGAAGTGTAGCTTTAAAGCTACTCTACCACTTTGGGTGAGTTTGTTCCCCACCCTTCCTCGTGCATGTGGTTCTAGTTTTTAAGACTTGTATAGCCAGGCTGACTGGCTAGTAGCAGAGTGATAGGAATTTGAAAATCCAAAAATGTTTTTCTATTGTAACTATACTTAAATACTTAATTTTTTTTTTTTTTTTTAAGATACTAACTCCTGTTCAAGGCAGTTAAAACTGCTTGTTCAAAAAATTACTTCAAAGTCCATATAGAATTTTTTAAGGAACACTTCAGAAATTGCTGTACAAATGTTTTTGTAATAAATTGATTGACCGGTTTATAACTAAGTTATCTGTAGTATTTCTAAGACTTAAAAATAGGTTGCTTGATAGAAGACATGAAGATCATGGAATACTTTTTACCAAAGGAAGGCGCTAGCATCTGTTTGCTTTTTTACTCAGTATCAGAGGACCCACATCAGAGTAGGGATGTATTAGAAGCCTCAGCCTGTAGGAGAAATTAATTAGAAGTATTTAACTATAAGACATAAATCTACCATAAACTTGCTTTGTTCATGTTGTTGCTTATGGAGCAGCTTGTTTTAAACCTGGTACTTAAAAACAAAATGTTACTCTGGCAATAACTTTAAGCTATTCCAGTATATTTATTATTACTTTTGTGTATATTTGCATTACACTGTAGAATTCAAACAACCCAAGCAGCGATTTTAAGCCAGACTTTCAGTAAGAGGCATATTGTGTCCAGAATGAACATAAGGCAAAATATGTGGAGCTGGATAGAGAATAAACATTCTATAGCATTTGAATTCTGACAGTAGCAGATAGTCACTACATTCATATTAGAGGCTTTCTTTTCTTCTAACCTTGCTCTGCAAAATAAAGCCAAGAATTAGTTACAGTTTGTAATACTTGTATAATTGTGTCCTATGTTATAAATTGTTGCAACTTGACACTGACTTTCCCCCTGCCCCTCCTCACCAGGTTCTTCTTTGGAAGCAGTAACAACTTGTGAACTGTGCAAGGAGAAGTTGCATCTGAATCTGGAAGACTTTGACATTCATGAACTCTATAGGGCACATGCAAATGAACAAGTTAGTATATTTTGCCTAATTTGGTAAGTGTTGGTTTAGTGCTGGGAGGGTGCTCTTCTTTAGAGAAAGAAAATGCATCTCCTTTTCAGAAGGACTGTTATGCACATGAAATAATGTCAACATGGAACAGATTTGTCTCCTCAATATTCAGACAAGTTCTGTCTTCCTGCTGTGCTTCCTATAGCTGAGCTTTCAGTAAGTGTAATATATCTCTTATCCTTTTCTAGTTGCAGATCTGTCATCTAGCTTTGCAGTCCAGTGTCTTTGCCACATAGGTGCGGTGGGAATACTAGTATGATTAGATTGGATTTCACATTGTCATTAATTTCTTTGCTTTTAGCTGTTTTTTAACACACTTAAGCAGTTGTTTTAAACATACCATTAAAAACTTAAAAATAATTAAAGGCCCATTAGTATTACTCTCGTCATCTAAAATACGTTATCTTAGAACTACTGGATTGTGTAGTATTTAAAAATGAGTAAATAACAAAAAGCTGGTGTTATTTTAATGAACTTTGTTCAGGGGGGTTTTCTTATTCTCTGGGTTGTATTCTGTGAGTATAGAAAGACTAATGAAATTTGCCTGTCTCAGAAGTTGAAAGAAAATACAAAGTGACACAAGTTTTGGGGCCAAACATCAACCTCTAATTTTCTTACTATTTAGAGAAAGCTCTTACCCTAGTAGTCTAGTTCTTGTCACTTGGGCCAGACTCTGAAAAGTCTTTCTCGAGAGTGCCATCATCTTATGTTTTAGCACTACTGATTGTTGGTTACTGTCACTGTACTTTGATAGAAATAAGAGCTTTGAAACTATTTCCTAAAGAATTGACTCTAAATGATCAATTCAGCAGTAGCATTTTGAAAGTTTATCTTAGCAGGGAAAATAATTTCTCGAAATATTTGTAGCATCGTAAAATTCTTATTTCCCTTTATTTTGGCTTTTAGTGTTGGGACCACTGAAAAGAAACCAGCAAAGTTTATTGTTTTTGTTTTCCCCAGGGGTATAATACTTTGATTCTCAGATTCCTTCCTGTGAACTAATCATGCTGACTGAGATTTTATTTGTAGAACTCTTTCTAGTTATCTTCAAGGATAACATGTTAGATCTGGGGTGGATGGAAAGAACCAGAAGTATAAATAGCTTTTCAGTAATTAAAATTTTTAGTATTACATTTCCCTAATTCTCTTGGGACAACTAGAGATCAAATGCATAATGTTTCCGGTAAAATTTAATTCTTGTTCTACTTCTTGAATCGTATGCAGACGTATCACTGACATTCTGAATGTTTCTTTTGATCTCCTTTAAGGCAGACTATGAATTTATCAGCTCTGGTCTCTACCTTGTCGTGTTGTTACACTTATGTGAGCAGCGCTTTTCTGATATGCTAGGAACTGCAAGTGAGGCCAGCACACGTGTCAGAGTAAGTACGCAGTGATTTTATGGCAGGAATTGCTCGTACAGAGAACTTGGAAGTAGATTGTTAACTTGAGCGACCTAGGAGCTAGATACCCAAGAAGCATGCTTATTTAACAATTTTAGGTCTAAAATGGTCTGGGTTTGTCAATGCAGTAACACCATGTTTGATTTGAAACTGAAGGTACTACTTTATTGCAGTTACTGTGTGGCAAAATAATTTTTGTCAAGGTTGTTGGTAATTCATTGCTTTGCACGTATGTTGTCACGATTATTGTGAATTTATGCAAAACTGGAAGGTTAACTTCTCTCTGTACAAAACACGCAGTTGAGAATGTTGGACTATCTTATTTGATTAATTTTTCTCATTATGCCAGTCTACATTGCAAAGGTCTAGACCTTGCAATGCTTGTCTGCTGGATTGTGCCTAAATACGTACTTGAATATTACATTCTGAAACTGACTAGCTATAGTATGATTTTCTAGCATTAGTCAAAACTCTTATTAGTTGTATTTGACTGGATTCTTTTCATTTAAATGGCTTGGCTTAGAAATGCAGTAAGTACACATTTTACCAGTACGAGATAATCATACAAAGTTATTTCTGCATAGTGACTCATCCAGAAATCCTGTATTCTACACATTTATTTGATACTAGATAATGAATCAGTGCTCTTCATCAACTGAGCACCTGAAAAGCTGATTTTTTTTTTTTTTAATTACATACAAAGAATTGACAATGTTAAGGTTGTCCAACGCTTATTGGAATGGTTGCTAGCAGGTACTAGACCTTTGGGGTATAGGCAGGACTGTGCTCTAATCTCTTACTGTATTAGAACACTGGTCCTCTTTTCTGTACACATCTACTGTAGAGCTTGTATTTCATGATCCATAAATGAAATGTTCAGTTTTCTCTGCTACAAGTGTAGAGACATAAAAGACACATAATCTAATAGTAGCTAGCATCCACTACGGGTTATTAGCTTGAGTATATTGAAGAAATAAGATGTTTTTACTGGTTTTTCATCAGAGGCAGCATTACACAGTTGTATGACACTACATTTTAAACCAGTGAGAGCACTGATGCATGTTTGATACTGAGCATACAACTGAGCTATGGAAACTGTAGCGTTATATTCTTGTTTATTTTTATTTGCTGTGTCTCAACATGTGGGCTATCACTGAAACAGTCATGTAGATTGTCACTGACAAAAAACATTTGGCCAATACTTTCAAAGTTGCCTAAGGAACTTGTATTCCTAGGGATTTTGGCTTTGGGTTTTAATACCACGTACTTCTAACATTGAACTGCCACTGTTGTCTAATAGTAATCCTGCTCTTGAACTTCTTGTTTACAGTTAAAATCTTAAGTGTATTTATGCATTTTTCATTAACCTGATTCAGTCAGGGGGCTCTGTTTTGCCATATTAATAGTGAAGTAAATTAAATGGATCCAACTAATGCAGTCCTTACAGATTATGTTTTTCTGCATTACGATTTCTAGGATCAGTTACCATGAAACTGGCACTTGTTTATGTGTTTATGTTCAGAATTGATGTTTTACAGATTGTAGAACATGAAGATGGTGCCACTAACTGCTACCAGAAACATTTGACATAGAGTGGAAGCTGAAATAACTGTGCAATAGCAATTTGAAGTCTAATGTGTGGGGATTTATATTAAATTTTGCATTGACTTTTGTAAGTCGGGCAAATGGGTTAGGGTAACTGACATCTGGGATGATACTTCGGGATGTAAAAAGTGAAAAAAAAGTGAAGAAAACTTTGCTAACTTGTTGCAAATTTCTGCAGATAACTTTGCAACTTTTAAACTACTTTCTCTCTGCCTTGTTTCTAGTTTATTAACCTTGCAAGAACTCTTCAGGCACATATGGAAGATATTGAAAGTAGGTGCTTCCCCTCTTCCCCTTCCTTCCTGTTAGATCAACTCAAAGTTAAATGAGTACAATCCTCCTTGCCAAGATTCATAATACTGAACTGAATTACTGAAAACTTTACTTTACCCAGCAGTGCTTTTTCCATTATCAGCAGAATTATTCTGAGGGAGAACGGGTTTTAATTCTCCATGGTTAATTTCCCAACAGCATAGAGTTGTTTAGACCACAGAAGTGTTTTCTGCAAGTGATAAGATTTCTCACTAGTTACAGTTTGGTTATTGTAATTCTATAGTACGTAGTTTTGGAATTGGTGGTGACCTTCAGGTTGTAGCCTTTTACATGAGCCCTAGTAGAAAGGAAACATTTAAAGTTGAATTTCACTGCACTTAAATTACCATACTTCTCTTGCCATTTCCTCTTCGCCCGTTTCTTTTTTTTGCCCTCTTCTCCCCTTTCTCTTTTTTTTTATCCACACACACTTTTCGGTTGTGTGTATTCCTTGATCAGACCTATCTGCTTCAGGAATGAAATTTAACAGTTGCCAGTTTTGCCAGAGGACTAGCCTACTTTTCACCTAATGGCTTCTTCAGCTTAAATTCAAAACTATATGCCGACTTCTGGTAGATGTATCCTGAATCTAAGTGTTAATTCTGGGCATGATGAATAGGCAGTAGAAGGGTAGTTGGTCTACTTTTTTTTTTTCCTCATGTGCATGTGAATGTCTGTCAACAGTTTCTGTATGAATTTTCAGTGCATAGGACGTATTTGGAGTACGATGAGGAATGTTGTGTGTGTGTGGAAGTTTTAGTTCAAGGAGCAGGTGATTATTTCTGCATTCAGAGCAGACAAAGGTGGACTGGAGCTCAGAATTTATTCTGAAGTTATGTGCATCCTTGTTAGAGTAAAAATTAATGAGTGCCTTTTTACACAGTAATGTAATCTGTATTTGATTCAGGCTTTATCTAACTTCCAGGTGAGGAAGATTTATTATTGATGCTACTTTAGTTACATTTCTCTTCTAAGAACTGGACAAGTGTGGAGACCTTCCTTCTTTCTGTGTTCAGAGATTGAACAAGTTACTTGGGCGTAAATACTTTCTTGACTGCAGTTTGCTTAAGAGAACAGATTAAATTCCTGTTATGGACAAGGAAACACTTTACAAATCTATTGTAGATGTGTGTACTGACTTTTTTAATCAGTTGACAAGTGTGTATTTGTCTTTTAATTCACCTTGCAACAACAAAATCCTGTGCATATGTGGGCTTTATGTTCATTTTGCATATCTTGAAAGAATGGGGGTGGAGAGAGGAGCTGCTTCCAAGTAGGCCTGACTTAATTGCATTAAGCAACATATATATATATAAAAAAGTTTTAAAAGTCTTTCTGTTTGTTTAGACTGATGAACCTTTCTAGTATCCAAATCGTTAACTTTGTGAGTCATTTCTTTCCCTTGTGTTGCGTGCTGCTGTCATGGACTGAGTATATTCTCCTCTGACTACTGTTGGAATGAGCCACTATAAACACTACATAAAATTTGAATCTCTGGCGTAATTAAGTTTTCTTCCTTTTATTTTGAGGAAGAACAGCAGGAGGACACTGCATTTTGTAATGGTGGGTTTTGATTTGGAAATGCTATATTTTTCAGACATGAGATGCGTTTAAAAATTAAGCTATGTAATTACACAAGGTTTGGGCGGGTATTACAATCTGCTATTTAATATCATAAAATTACATTTATTTCCACTACTCATCTTAAAGTGCTCTAATTTCACAGACCTTTGTCAAGGCTTCTGATTATATTGTGTTGTTTCAACAGCTTCTGAGGATGATTCTGAAGGCTGATGCTGGTAGAACTTTCATACTGCAAGAGACAAATGGAGTTGCTGCAGAAATGCTGAACTGGCAAGAACAACATCAACATGCATTTGGTTTTTCCCTCTCCTTAGTAAAAAGCGCATTGAATATTACTGTAGTTTTTGAAGCATTGTTGAATTCAAAATCAACTGCTGCACAGTGGAACTCAGTGGACTTAAGAACTACTCAGCATGTGCGAGAATTAGATACATATAAAGCAACTTGCCTTTTTAAATGATGAGGATGATGTGCTTCATTTTGGAAGACATCAGAATTTGAATATTTAAGGAAGCTCTATCTCCCTTTATGTCTCCTTCTTACTGTAGTCCGACTTCTGGTTTTGTCTATCGAGTTTTGCTCCTCTACTGGCACTAAGTGGTTATAGTGGGTTTCAGGGGGAGGGTGGGGAGGGAGGGTGGGAGTGTCCATAAACTTAAATAGGTTTTGTTTGGGTTTTTTTAAATGCCTCTGTTGCCGCATCATATAATGACTGATTGCTTCCAGTGTTAATGAATGAACAGGAGGATGAGCAAGATACTGTAGAGATTGTTTCAGTTTTGATTTATTTGAAGATTATTATTTCACTCAAAAAGCAATAAGAACTTGCAGTGGTCTTCTAATACTTAGTGTTAGTGATGGCTTTTTTATGTACCAGTTTGGAAATTGGAGGTTATATATGATATTATGTGGCTGTTCCATTATGGAATATTGCAGGTGTAAACTCTTGCATTTCAGCATTCCTGGCAGATACGCAACTTGATAAAGACCTAAGGTTGTTCAGTTTAAGCAGACTTTTTTAGATCCCACCTTCACTGTTCAAAGCACTGGTTATCAATGTGTTTTCTAGTTGTCACTTCTTTATAAATAAAGACAATAGCGGTATGCATCTCTACTGGTATTTTCCATTTTATTTAAACATGGATATCTACCAGAACTTACACTTGAAAACTTAGAAAGCTGTGGTCTGTGGTATATCTTTACTAATGTTTGTAAATTCTTATGCGGTTATTTAAGATTGTTTCTGACCATTTTGGATTGAAATGCTTTATATGAATGGTGGTACAATAAATTGTCATACATGTATTGGAATTGTATTTGCTATAAATATTTATGTTAGCTTTTTTTAATTACTCCAGTAACAATTTATCTGCAAAGAGTGCAGTATGTTGAAATACCTTGAGTTTAGTTTATTGTTACAGTATGTAAAACTAACTTGTGCGGAAGAAAGGATGTGCCTTAACAGCTGAAATGAACTCAGGTGATTTTAAGAGTTAACTTTGCTAGCATTACATGAGATGGTCTGTCATCTGTAAGACTTGAAAGAAAATGGAATACTAAGGAAATTGCACATTTCTATGCTCATTCTGGTAACCTTACGCGTTGGGTATTCGGTGCCAACACTCAGAAGTATCATTTCAGCAATTAGTTGAAATACAGCTCTCCTTTGGACGTTCATTTGAAAAGTGAAGGTCCAGGCGTACGTGAAAATGTTTCTAACTCATTTCTGAAGAAGGTGAATTCAGGTTTATAATAAAAGTTAAATGTTTAATCCTTTCTGAGTTAGTTGGTATAGCTTAATAAAACATCATACAGTGAAGCAGACAGTATTTCATATGCACTCAATACATTTAGAGTTACAAGCATGAGCTCTGATAGCCTAATAAATTGATGACTGAAGGATATTTTTTAAATGTTTTTTCTGTCCTTGTAACAAATAGCAATTTGGTGAGCAAGGTGAGCAATTTAAGTAGCTGCAGTTCCACATAAAAATTCGGTTCAAATGAATTGTCACTTTGTTGTCCTGCAGCCTGGTTGAGCTCCAGTGCAAATGAAGGAGTGACATAGGGGGATAGCATGGTGGAATCAGTGAAGAGCAGAGGGTCTGAATGCACCATTTGGGAAGAATGCTGCTGCCAGCCCCAGCTGCCTCCCCCAAGGAGAGCTCTGCCTTGCAGCCCAGACCCCCCCTAGTTATAGAAGGGTGGAGGCTGGGAGCAGCCAGGATTTGTTGTCTTCCATATACCTGCGCTGTGAAATCTCTCTGCTCAGGGGAGCAGAGAGTGGAGATCCCAGATGCTTGTGGGAGCATCTGTCTGTGGAAGCCCTTGTGGGTCCATGCAAGTGTATTTGTGTCAGCACAAAGCATATACATGTTCACGCAAGTGTCCGTGCAAGCGTGTATTTTTCTTGTCTGCTGATGCTGTCTCATGCCTGCACCATGTTTTCTCCCTGGGTTTGGAGATGTGGGGAATGGCCACAGCTTGTTGTTGGTTCTAGCTGTTCCCAGGTGTACCTGATCCTCAGGGGTGGGCCCAGATCTCCTCAATGAGTCCAGTGATGACAGATCCAGGTGTGGATGGCATCATGCTCATGGGAATAAGCTGCAGAGTTGAGTGCCTCATTTCATCCTGGGGCCAGTTAAGTGCTGCGGGGCTGATAGAGTGCAAAGGTGCTGCTCAGTGCCATTGTGAGTCCTTAGGGCTGTGGCTCCCTCGGATGTCCGTGGCACCCTCAGATGGAGATGCTTGCAAGCATCCATCCTGGGGTTCTACAGCTGTTTCTGTGTTGGGGATGAGGGGGAGAGCATGTTTTTCCATGTCACAATTCTGACTTTTGCTACTCTGTGTGTACTATTCTTTTGTTGCGTGCTAACCTCATCTTCCAGGTTGCTTGCACTGCACTGAGCTGTATTGTTTCAAATGTCCTTCATCTTGTGCGTTTTTAGGCTCCTCCCAAACCTGGCCATGATTCTGGCTCTTCTGCCACTCTTTCATTATGAGGAAGTGACTACAGGCTTGATACCACTATCTCTGGTCAAGTGTCTTACACAGGAGGTCTAGAAAGATGCTAGAACAGCAAAGGATGAGGAATGTAACTTTCAGTGAGCTTAATGAGCTCAGAAGAGCAGAAAAACCTGGAGTTCTAGCATGTTATAATGTAGCACTGGAGTTGGAAGGGTAGAGGGTTTAATTCTACCTGTGGTATCTGTGTTTCAGGCAGTTGGACTAGATGATTGTTGTAGGCCCCTTCCAACTGAACTATTCCATTCTAGAGTCAGGTGGGTTGTAGGTGCCTTCCAACCGAGGAAGGTGGGTTATGTGTGTGGAATTCTGCGCGCCTCTTGTTTGGAAAATGAAGGGGGGCTGTTCGCTGTGGGCCACCGTGTGTGCTTGATAGCTACGTGGTACAAGTGGTGCAATATTGAAGTCTCGGGACCTCTAGTAAAGGAAATGGGTGCAGGCTTTGTTGTTGGTTTCTGCATATATATGTAACCTTGTGTGTCTGGGATAGGTCGCTGGGTTGAAAATGGAATTGGATAGGAGTCGGCAATGCGTTTCTGTGTTACAGAAAATTACTTGCAGTCTGAGTACTTGAAAAGAATTGTCAGCCGAGGGCTGGCTGAAGGAGTTCTTGAGCTGTGCCCTTGATTTCCACCAACAGCATGAAAGTGGGTAAATACAGAGAATTGCCTTCTAGTCTACTTGGGACCGCCCCATTTGCCACCCTTTCCCCTCATGCTCCCTGTGTTCACCTTCCAGTGCATCGCAGAGCCCGCTGTTGGCCCGTCAGCCCCCTCAGATGTCCTCTCTTTCACTCGGTTTCTCTTATTACCACTCCATCTTCCTTTCTGTTTCCCCAAATCGCTGTGTTTGCCTTCCAGTCTCCTTAGAGACCTCATTTGCCCTCAGACCTCCTTGAGAGCCCTCCATTGGTCTTTTGCTGCACCCCATACAGTCCTCCAATTGCCTTCTGGTTCCCTCAGGACCCCTCAGTTTGCTTTTTGGTGCAACTCGGACACCTCCATTTGCCTCCATTATGCCCCACAGCCCTCCATTAGAATTCAGACCCACTCAGGGCTACTTCGTTGTTCTTATAGTCTGCTGTAGAGCCCTTTTCTTTGCCTCTGTTGCACCCCAGAGCCCTTTGCTTATGCTCTGATCCCCTCAGGACACCTTCATGTGCTGTGACTTCCATCAGGATCCCCCCTCTTTTTGTTTTCTAGTTCCCTCAGTACCCCCTTCTGATTGGTCTAATCCCCCTCAGGATCCCTCCAGTGTCCCCCAGATCCCTCTGATTGTTGTCTAGTTCCTTCAGGCATTGATTTGCCACCCTGTCCTCTCATGACTCACCCGCCTTCCTTGCACCCAGACACTCTGCTCCTCTGCTGTTCTCAGATCCCCCTGTTACCTCTCCGTTTGCCTTTCTGTGTCTCGTATGTCCCACTGTTGCCCTTCTGTGCACCCCAGAACCTTCTGTTTGCTGTGAGGGTTCTCCATCTGCCCTTCAAACTCTTCAGAACCCCTCCATTGCTTTTTTGGTATGCCGCAGAGCCCTCCAGTTCATAGAATGACGGAATGGTTGGGGTGGTAGGGATCGTGAATCCAAACATCACCGCCACCCACACATACACGCATCCCGCTTAAAGCAGTCAAGTGGAGCAGGTTGCTCAGGACCATGCCCAGTCAGGTTTTTGGTATCTCCAAGGGTGGAAAATCTGCAACTTCTCTGGGTGACCTTTACCGTTCCCCCAATAAAAAAAAAAAAAAAAAAAAAAAAGGTTGGGTTTTTTTTTTTCATGTTTACAGGCATTTCCTGTATGTTACTTTGTGTCCGTCGTCTCTTGTCCTGTTGCTGGGCTCCACCGAGAAGACTGGCTCAATCTTTACTTCCTCCCATCAGGTACTTAAGCACGTCGGTAGGATCACCACCACCCGCCCTGCGCCTTCTCTTCACAAGGCTGAGCAATCTCAGCTCTTCCAGCCTCCCCTCATATGATGCCCCAATCCTTCAGTCATCTTAGCGCACGCGTGATTTTATTAACTGTGAAGATAATGCACTATAGAGAGAAAATGTTTGTATAAACATAATGATTATACAACTAATGGAAAACAAGTAGTTCTGTACACAATACCGCAAGTGCAAATTTTCTTCTCCCACTGTCAATATGACTGTCTGTGATGAATGGAGGGACTGGGGGGGGTGGCAGGACAGGTAGCTCTCAGATTGGTTGGACTGCTAAGGACTGCCTCATTCAAGCTTGTTTTCTCCGCTGAGCTGACTGCTGTGCGCTGGGTTCCCCGACACTGTTGCACAGGTGCTGTCTCTCAGGCTGTCAAGATGTCACGAAAGCCCCTTCTGCTGAGTTTGTCCGTGTGCCTTCCATAGGTGTGTGGCTAGAGACACAGTTCTTCCCCAGAGACCCTCAGTTCATCTGTTTAAATAATACCTATAAGCTAAAGAAGCTGCAACTGTTAAATGGTTAAAGGATATTTAGAATGAGGTGCTTTGCAAGTAATTAAGCCCATATAATTCTCAGTTTTGGCTTGTTAGGAAGGCTGATGGAAAACCTTGGCAAATGATGGTGGATTACCACCAGATAGGCAAGTTCACCTAGACGATGGCTTTTATTGCAGCAAGCATACCTTAAGAGTATTGGTAAGTTACAAGAAGAGAACAAGTGGTTTTCAGGTACGGATCTGTTTCTTTGCCATTGCAGTAACTGAAGAACCAGTCTGCAGATTTGCTTGTATGTGTAGAGACAAACATACCTTTACTCAGGTACTGGAAGGGTTTCACAACACACTTGCAGTAAAACACGGTCACATCTGAAAAACATTAGAAAGGCTGTTTCCAGAGAATAAAGAAAAGGTGTGGTCTTATGGATGATATTCTAGTGGCCAGAGATACTGAAGAGAGTACCCAAGGCTTAAACCCTGTGTGGGGGCAGACGCCTGCAGGTGCCAGGCAAGCGGGCTGAGCCCTGCAGGACAGAGGGCAGGGAGTGCGACAGTCTGGGTGCTGCTGGGTGGAGGGGGCTGGAGGTCGTTTTTCTGAGGCTGAAGCTGCAGGCGTTAGGTGAGTGATGTGTATGCCAGAGGCAGTGCGAATCTC